GAGGGCTGTTTGAATGAATTAAATTAATGGATGAATGGTTTATTTAGAATATAAAATAATTATAGTAAAATAAAAACATTTCTATTCTTTTATTTAAAAATATAGAAAATTATTATTATTATTATAATAACTACCTGTTATTGCAGGGATGACATCAGCTGCAGATGCAGTGGGATTGCTCACATCCCTCGTGAGTTCCTCAAATGGAGCTAACACCTCAGCTGTCTTCTCCATCAGGGTCCACTGGTTGGCTGTCAGTGTGGCTGGCAGGCTGTAGTCAGCTGCATACACAGAGAGAGCCCGCTTTTGCTCCAGGATGCTCTGCAGCATGTAGAGGCTGCTGTTCCATCTCACTTGCACGTCCTGCTGTAGACGCTTGACATCCATCTTCAGATCCTTCTGGATATCTTCCAGCCGGGAATAGGCCAACGGGGAATGTTTGAAATGTCCAACAATTTTCCTCGCAGTGGCCAGTGCTTCTATGACGCTGCGCTGAGACAGCAGACCCTCATGCACAGCAAGTTGGAGCGTGTGTGCGACACAGCCCACACTCTTTATGTCACGGTAGAGCAAAGGAAGCAGGACCCAAATGCAGATTAAACTGATATACCTTTATTTCAAGGATAATGAAATAGAACTTGGACAGACAGAACACTCACCGGTGAACACAGTCAACAACAAAAGACGAACCGACAAAGACAGACAGAAAAACCAGAACTTAAATACACACAAGACTAATCACACAAACAAGACACAGGTGAGGAGGGAGGAGAAAACACAGGGGCCACAGGTGAACACAATCGGATAATCAGACACGACAGGGAACCACAGACAGATCCAAACAAGACAAAACACAACGCAGACAGAAAACCAAAAACAGATCTAGACAAGACAAAACACCACAAAGACAGATCGTGACAGTACCCCCCCCTCAAGGGAAGGATCCCAGACGTCAAAAACACAAAAGTCCAAAACCTCAAGCAGGGTGGGTGGAGGGGGTCCGGAGGAGGGACGTATCACTAGGCCACCAGGGTGGGTGGAGGGGGTCAGGAGGACGGGACTGAGCTGACCGCCCAGAGGTACAGCAGAGGACCAGGAAGGGATCTCGGGCGGACGGCCCGGGGGCAAGGCAGAGTTCAAAAAGGGGGATTCGGGCGGACGGCCCGGGGGCAAGGCAGAGTCTAAGGTGGGGGACTCGGGCGGCCGAGCATGATGGCGAAGGCAGCGGCAGGAAGAGTCAGGGGGCCGGGCTTGAGGACGAGGGCAGCGGCAGGAAGAGTCAGGGGGCCGGGATCGCGGGCGAAGACCACGGCTCACAGAGGGCCGGGATCGAGGGCGAAGACCGCGGCTCTCAGGGGGCCGGGCTCGAGGGCGAAGACCACGGCTCACAGAGGGCCGGGCTCAAGGGCGAAGACCGCGGCTCTCAGGGGGCCGGGCTCGAGGGCGAAGACCAGAGAGCTCCGGAGGCCGGGCAGGAAGGCGCTGACGGGCCAGCGCCGGAGGCCGGGCAGGACCCGGTGTCGGCCGGACAGGAACCGGAGCTGGTGGGACAGGCCTCGGCAGGATCCCCCACGGAAGAGGACCAGGACACAGGATTGGCAGGACCCCCGGCGAGACAGAGGATGGCGGGGCCTCCAACGGAACAGGACAAGGGGTTGGCAGGACCCCCGGCAGGAGAGTAGACGGCGGGACCTCCAACGGGACAGGACAAGGGGTTGGCAGGACCCCCGGCAGGAGAGTAGACGGCGGGACCTCCAACGGGACAGGACAAGGGGTTGGCAGGACCCCCGGCAAGAGAGTAGTCGGCGGGACCTCCAACGGGACTGGACATGGAGCCGGCAGAACCTCCATCGGCACAGGACGTAGGGTTGGCAGGACCCCCGGCAGGAGAGTAGTCGGCGGGACCCCCAACGGGACAGGACATAGGATTGGCAGGACCCCCGGCAGGAGAGTAGTCGGCGGGACCTCCAACGGGACTGGACATAGGATTGGCAGGACCCCCGGTAGGAGAGTAGTCGGCGGGACCCCCAACGGGACAGAACATGGAGTTGGCAGGAGCCCTAGCGGAACCTCCAACGGCACTTCAGTAGGGACTTGAGTTGGGACTGGAGAGGGAACTCGAGAGGGGACTCGAGAGGGGATTTGAGAGGGAACTCGAGAGGTGACTCGAGAGGGGACTTGAGAGGAAACTGGAGAGGGGACTCGAGAGGGAACTTGAGATGAGACTAGAGTTGGGATTTGAGAAGGGACTAGGGAAGGGACTAAAGGAGGGACTGGAGATGGGACTAGAGGAGAGACTTGAGAAAGGACTTGAGAAAGGACTAGAGAAGGGACTAGAGAAGTGACCTGAGGAGGTACTAGAGGAGGAACTAGAGAAGGGAACTCGAGAGGGGACTCGAGGAGGGACTAAAGGAGGGACTCGAGAGGGGACTGGAGGGGTGACTCGAGAGGGAACTTGAGATGGGACTGGAGAGGGGACTCGAGAGGGGACTCGAGAGGGAACTGGAGAGGGGACTGGAGAGGAGACTGGAGAGGGAACTGGAGATGGGACTAGAGAAGTGACCTGAGGAGGGACTAGGGAAGGGACTAGAGAAGGGACTTGGGAAGGGACTAGAGGGGGAACTCGAGAAGAGACTAGAGAGGGGACCAGAGATGGGACTATGGCAGCTGGGGCAAGAGCTGGGTCTGGAACCATGGCTGCGGGGGCCGGAATTGAAGCCAGAATCATGGCTGTAAGGTCCGGTTCTGGAGCCAGAAACATGGCTGAATGGGCCGGCTCTGGAGCCGGAATTGAAGCCAGAATCATGGCTGTAAGGTCCGGTTCTGAAGCCGGAAACATGGCTGTAAGGTCCGGTTCTGGAGCCGGAAACATGGCTGTAAGGTCCGGTTCTGGAGCCGGAAACATGGCTGTAAGGTCCGGTTCTGGAGCCGAATCCATGGCTGCTGGGGCCAGAACTGGGTCTGGAACCATGGCTGTGTGGGCTGGTTCTGGAGCCGGAAACATGGCTGAATGGGCCGGCTCTGGAGCCGGAATTGAAGCCAGAATCATGGCTGTAAGGTCCGGTTCTGAAGCCGGAAACATGGCTGTATGGTCTGGTTCTGGAGCCGAATCCATGGCTGCTGGGGCCAGAACTGGGTCTGGAACCATGGCTGTGTGGGCCGGTTCTGTAGCCGGAACCATGGCTGCTCGGGCTGCTAGCCTGGCCTTGCGACGACTCCTCTTACCAGCCGCCTGAATACTCCGTGGACCTCCATAAGCCAGAGTTCCAGAGGACGGCTCCTGGACAGGAGCAGGAACTGGGGGAAAAAAGCAGAGGTTGACTCCAGACGGAACACACCGAGACGTATGGTGTCAGGTAGGGAATTGGGAGGCAGGGGGCTAGCATGCCTGGAGCTAGCAGGCCGGGAAAGAGGTTTGACCTCAAAGCTGCCCAAAAAGTCCTCCACCCACTCGGGGAGCAACTCCCTCAACCAGGGCCTTGAGGTTACCTCCTGGCGTGCCGCAGAAATAAATGAATGCCTCTCTTCAGTACTGGAGGCATATCTAAAGTCATTCCTCAAGCATGTTAAATTGTACTTCACCTCGTACAAACTGTCTGCTGGGTCCATTCTTGGTCGGTTCGTTCTGTCACGGTAGAGCGAAGGAAGCAGGACCCAAATGCAGATTAAACTGATATACCTTTATTTCAAGGATAATGAAATAGAACGTGGACAGACAGAACACTCACCGGTGAACACAGTCAACAACAAAAGACGAACCGACAAAGACAGACAGAAAAACCAGAACTTAAATACACACAAGACTAATCACACAAACAAGACACAGGTGAGGAGGGAGGAGAAAACACAGGGGCCACAGGTGAACACAATCGGGTAATCAGACACGACAGGGAACCACAGACAGATCCAAACAAGACAAAACACAACGCAGACAGAAAACCAAAAACAGATCTGGACAAGACAAAACACCACAAAGACAGATCGTGACACTTTACTTCCAAATCATCCATGGCTTTCACCATATTTTGCGCGTTGTCCCGCAAAATGACATGGACCCGTGGCTTATCTATTCCCCAACTGTTAAGCATCCCCTCGATCGCCTCTCTCACACGATCTGCTGTGTGAGATCCGCAAAAGTTCTGAGCTTGCAAGGTCGCATGTTGCAAATTAAACTGGGAGTCGATCCACTGTGCAGTGAAGCTAAGGAGTGACATTGGACACACAGAAGAACTCCATATGTCTGTGGTAAATCCGAAAGCAGGCACGTCTGTTAACAGGGCTTGCAGGTGACCACGAAGCTTGTTGTGAAGGGCAGGCAGAGCTTTCTCTTTAAAGTAGTGATGAGAAGGCAACTCATAACGTGGCTCCAAGTGCTCCATGAGACGGCGAAACCCCACGTTCTCCACCACAGATAACGGCTAGTCATCCAACGCGATGAATTCAGCTATCTTGGCTGTTATTTTGTTGGCATTTTCACTGTTCTGGGGAAGTTTCTCTTTCCTTTTAAACGTCTCTGAAAGTGTTGGTTGTTTCAGTGCCGTTACCTGAGTGGCCGCTTTGTACTCGTCGTGTTCTTGGTGGTGTTTGTTTCTCAGGTGGCGTATTATATTGGTCGTGTTGAACGTAGCTCTGTTCTTTCCACCACGCGGAACCTCCGCCTTGCAAACATTGCATCTGGCTGTTACACTGCCTTCGCTTTCAATTTTAAAATACTTCCAAACTCCTGACATATTCTCTGTCCCGACTCCGGAGTCACCAGCTGAACGTAGCCTCTCGTTAGCTTACTGCTACTATTAGACACTGCGCCATGCCCACTCTGTTGCCAGATTTGAGAGAAATAAGCAACCAGATCTTGGTTGCTTATTTCTCTCAAATCTGGCAACAGAGTGCCCAAAAGAAACAACACATACATGATGTTGTGTAATTATAAACCAAAACTAAGGCCTCAGGATGACTTTAAGACGTGAACATGGTCATTTTAGTTTTGTAACATTAAATAAAATAATTTATTATAAAAAAAAATCCCCGATCTTTTGAAAATCACGTGATCGGCTCCGATCCCCGATCACGTGATCGGATCGGGACATCCCTAGGGGGAAGTGAAAGGAAATGTGGTAAATGTGGGAAATCACAGCATAGCAAGGAAGAAGGGTGTCCTGCAGCTAAAGTTACATGCCACAAGTGCAATAAAATAAGACATTGGGCCAGAGTGTGCCGAAACAGCACTAGATCAGTGAATGAGGTCACAGGGACTGTACAGGCTGAGCAGACCCATTATTTCTTAGGCTCAGTGTGCAGTGCAGATGAGAAAGAGCAGTGGACAGTTCAGCTCCAGGTGGATTCTACTCCAATGGCATTTCAAATTGACACAGGAGCTGATGTCAGCGTCTTATGTGAGGATGCATTTCACACACTCACTCCACCAAAAACACTGAAACCAGCTGACATCCCATTAGACAGCCCAGGAGGTGAACTGTTGTGTCTGGGACGCTTTAATGCTACAGTTAGTTACATGGGAAAGAACTACCTATTTGAAGCATATAGTCCGTGGCCAGAGTGTCAATAACCTACTCAGCCGGGATTTGTCAGTGGAGATGAACCTGGTGAGGCGTGTTGATGAAGTGAAATTCACTACCAGTGAACACCTTCAAGCCTATGGTGAGCAAAGCACACTAAAAACTGAACCTGTTAAAATCCAATGAAATCAAATCAAGTTTTATTTATATAGCAGATTTATAAACGATTTTTGGTCGAGCCAAAGTGCTGTACATATAATAAAAATAGCCTACAGTAGAGACACTTTACAGCAAATACAACAGCACAGATTGTTCAGAATATCAGTATGAGAAAAACGACACCCTCTATCCTTAGACCCTCACATCGTACAAGGAAAAACTTCCAGAGAAAACCCACAGTTTAAGGGGAAAAAATGGGAGAAACCTCAGGGAGAGCAACAGAGGAGGGATCCCTCTCCCAGGATGGTTGAGCCCCAATTAAAGGATGGGGCTCAACCATATGCAGTGCATACAGCACGTCGTGTGCCCTTCCCAATGTTACAGATGGTAAAAGAGGAACTGCAGAGGATGGAGAAGAACGGTGTCATCGAGAAGGTAACACAGCCAACTGAATGGTGTGCTCCTATGGTGCCCGTTCTAAAGAAAACCACAGGCAAAGCCAGGATCTACACGTGGACCTGAAAAGACTAAATGAGTCAGTAAAAAGAGAGCGCTACATCTTACCTACCTCTGATGAAATAACTGCAAAGCTAAGTGGTGCACTCTCTCGACGCTGCAAGTGGGTTCTGGAAAATCCCACTGCACCCAGTCAGCTGTAAATTAACAACCTTTATAACACCGTTTAGCAGGTACTGTTTCAAAAGGTTACCTTTCGGGATTTCCAGAGATCTTCCAGCGGAAAATGCTAGAAACTCTGCAGGGGCTGGAAGGCGTTGAAGTCTTCATGGACGATATCCTGGTCTATGGGACATCAGCAGGCTTAAAACTTAATAAAGATAAATGCTCCCTCAGACAAAGCCAGCTACGCTTTCTGGGACATCTCATCGACCAGTCAGGAGTCAGGCCCGACCCTGATAAAGTTGAAGCCATACATCAGCTGGCTCCACCAGGAAATGTCCATGAGCTGAAAAGAGTCCTGGGCATGGTGAACTACCTGGGTAGGTACGTTCCAAACCTTTCCACAATAGGTCAACCACTGTACGAGCTTCTGAAGAGCAGGAACATCTGGACCTGGGGTCACTCACAGCAGTCAGCTTTTGAGAACATTAAGACAATGCTGACCACGGCACCTGTTCTTGTCTTCTATGATGTGGCTAAAGCCACAGCGGTGTCTGCTGATGCCAGTAGCTATGGCCTGGGGGGGGTCCTCCTCCAGCTCCATGAAGAGGAGTGGAAGCCAGTAGCCTACTGTTCGAGGCGTCTCACAGAAGCGGAGACACACTACGCCCATAGAAAATGAGTGCTTGGCTAGCGTATGGGCCTGTGAGAAGTTTGACAAGTATCTATGTGGCTTGGATCAGTTCAGGCTGGAGACCGACCACAAACCATTAGTGCCACTGATCAACAAACAAAGCCTAGATAACGTCCCCTTGAGAAGATGTCAGCGTCTACTAATGAGGCTCATGAGGTACAAACCTTTAGCAGAGCATGTGCCTGGGAAGACCCTTGTTGTCGCCGACACACTGTCCCGAAGCCCACAGACACACACAAAGGAAGAGACTGACACTCAAGAAGATGTGGCATGCTACACTGAACAAAAATATAAATGCAACACTTTTGTTTTTGCTCCCATTTTTCATGAGATGAACTCAAAGATCTAAAACATTTATACACAAAATAACCATTTCTCTCAAATATTGTTCACAAATCTGAAAAAATCTGTGATAGTGAGCACTTCTCCTTTGCCGAGATAATCCATCCCACCTCACAGGTGTAGCATATCAAGATGCTGATTAGACAGCATGATTATTGCACAGGTGTGCCTTAGGCTGGCCACAATAAAAGGCCACTCTGAAACGTGCAGTTTTGCTTTATTGGGGGGTCTGGGGGGGTCCGAAAACCAGTCAGTATCTGGTGTGACCACCATTTGCCTCACGCAGTGCAACACATCTCCTTCGCATAGAGTTGATCAGGTTGTTGATTGTGGCCTGTGGAATGTTGGTCCACTCCTCTTCAATGGCTGTGCGAAGTTGCTGGATTTGTCATAGTGCTGTATTTTATAATCTCTGTTAGATCAGCTGAACATTGTTCCCCCACATATTTACTTTGAATTAATTGAGAGTGCGGTATAATGAGACAATAACAGGCTACAGATGAGGACACACACACAAATATATTTATATAAATATATACAATTGAAAGTATGAGAGCACTCTCATAATAACGTAACACAATCAGAGACTGGATATATCCCCCCCCCCCCCTCTCTCTGGTCGCTGAAATGGGGAATTGAAATTACGGGCCAAAAGTTGTATTTACAAGTATTACAAGTAAGCAGAGGACACCAAACCAACTGAGACCCGTCTGTCCGCCGCATCTACGCACTGTACAACACACACATACACACTGTAGGCCTACCACACACACTTACAGCTCCTAAAGCATAAGGCTACAGCTGTTGTGTATTTTATTATGTGAAGCACTAAATGGTCTTAGAAAAATATCGACTCTTTGTTTGTAGATATCTACTAAACTACAGCAAATAAAGAGAGTAATGTAGGCCTGTTATACTGAGTGATATATATTGTACACTGCTCTGCTTTCTGGATGGACCTCACAGCTGTTCTCACTGTAAACATCCACGCGATGAAAGCAGTTTCTAAAATAATATCCAGAGGATGCATGCAGAGCTGTCATTGGCTGAGATAAGTCCGGCCGTGCTTCACGCCTCCACCGTTCCCGGAAATGCATCCGTGGAGGAACCATCAGTGGGTCCTTCTCACTTCGGTTAAATGGATTCCTTGCGTCCCTCACTTGCGTCGTTTCCCTGCGACTAGTCCCTCCCACCAGGGAAGCATGGAGAGACGCAAGGAAACCACGAGAAGCAGGGAAATGAGTTTCAAGAGCAATGGGACGTCCTTTCCTCCGGAGCGTCACGTGAAGCGACATCCGTTTGTGATGACGCCGCACAGCTGATCGTCTGACAGCAGCTCTGTCCCCGTTATTTTCACAAACACCCCGGCCTCTGTTAGTACACATTTACTGACACAAACATTTGTATCATCTGTTGTAGACCCAAATAAATAAAATCAAATAAGAACTCATTCTCAAAAAAGATAAACGCCATTCTTAAAATGTATAAACGAACAATAGTTTGATTAATATTGATTAGAGTGCACAATAGAAATAAAATAATTGAGAGAAGAAAAAGAGATATGTTATCTATCAAAACCCAGTTAGATTAACATTCATTGGACTGCACACTTTGTTTGTTTGTGTGGATATGTAGCACATTCACATTTTAATAGCACTTAATGACTGACTGAATGGAAATGACAATAAATGAAAATTTAAAACAAAAAAAGCGATCATGAAAATGTTTCCAAAAAATGAATAAAATGATTTTTGACCACTTTGTTGTTCAGATATATCACATATTTGTAACTAAATGAAACATGAATTGAAACAAAACACGGTATAAACTGAGGAGTGAATCCCGTGAGGTTCATGTATTTTCTTCACTCCGCTGGGAAACTGCTCTCATGTCAAGAAGCATGACGAGGCATGACAAGGCAGTGCATGCACTGATCTCAATCAGTGCATGCACTGCCTCGTCCAATCAGTGAGCGATACACAGTAAGGGGGCGGGGCGAGTGTCTGAGGATTTCATCGAAGGATGGTCTGGTGGTTCCTCGGTTATAGCTCCTCCATTATCGCTCCTCGGTCCTCCGGCAAAAATAAGGCCATTGGGACGCTACTCAAGATGGCGCTCAGAATAGACCGGAAACTATTCTTTTACCGTTCAGTTTGAATTTCCCAATAAAGTTAGTAATATTTTGTTTTGATATTATTGTTTTTTATTAACTACTTGACCGCTGGGTCATGCTAAGACCATCTTTTCTGTGTTGCTGTGGGTTTTTTCCATTTGTGTTACAAATATCAAAACAATAACTAAATATATCCGTCGTAAACTAAACCAGAAACAGCAGTATATTTTATTTTGTTAACACTGTAAACTTGACAGCTTTTTAACCCAAACCACCTACTGGTTAAAACACGTTTAGAGTAATGCAATGCAGGTAGATTGTGTTGCTTTTTAATGACTGTTTAAAATGCCTTTTTCTTACTACTTGTTACTTGTTGCTAGGGACGCTGCTATCGATATTATTTCTGTTATGTTGTGTAACTGTTTAATGGTGTTATCTTTATTGCTACCCCCTTCCCCGTCATTGTATAGTGTTGGTCCACAGCGCAAACGTATTAGTATTAACAAAATCCGAATCTAAAATTGTGGCATAGATAGCCTACGTTATTTTCCCCTGTGCAATTCTCCATTTACTCAACAATAACAGATAATTATCCTTATGTTTATTTATTTGTTTGATTAATAAACACAAGTTGGAGTCCGTCAGGACCGAGGGTCGGAGCAGCTCATTTGCTTTAGAGAATATTACACCGGGAAGTAAGTATTCTCTCCGCTTCGCTTGACAAACCCTGTGATAGTCCTCAAGCTCTGTGATTGGAGAGCTCCGAGGGTTACGCCGAGCGTCGAACAGCACTTGAAATGGGATGGAACCACGGCAGACTGTCCAAAACTGGATTTGAACGGGTCCACCGTGTCCCCCTCTCCCCCACCAGAACTACACATGCTGGCTATTGTGTTTTGCAACATGTTCTCTATCTATGGCACGTCTCTACTGGGAGTTGTAGTTTTAAAAGACGTTTTTGTATTTCCCATAATAAGAAGTTGCCAGTATTAAACTGTGTACATCCCTGGAGGTTTAGGGGATAGGAAACACTCAAATTTAAAACATATAATTAATAAATGGGTGAAAATTGCTTGTGTCCATAATGGGCAGCATTAATATATATACCCACATGCCAGCTAAGGTCAGAAGAGCTTTATTTAATAGCTGGTCTTATGTTTATGACCCCTCCTGTTGTTAATTGATAACATTACATTACATTAATTGATAAGCCTGAAACATGCACTTGTCAAGGTTCAGAGGCACATTTTGCAAATATGGCAGTAGCCATCGATCAGCTTAAGATAAGATATACTTTATTGATCCCAAGTTGGAAACATTTGCGTTACATCAGCATGTGTAACAGTTGTAAATATGCAGTGGTGTTTATTTGTAAATCATTTAGTATAATCACACAAATGCTGTGTTTTATATTTAACAATTCTGTGTTCTTTATTTATTGATTGTTCAATACCTGACAAGGCCGGAGATGAAATATCTACATACATCTTATAAGAGTATAATACATATGTATAATATCAGTTAAAATAAGTGCTTCAACATAGTTAACATTGCTGGAGGTATGCACAAATATTGATAGATGTCTTGTAATGCACTATTGAGGAACCTGCTACCCAAGTTTTTCATTCAATACATAACTACACCGTTTGTGAATATGATATGTCAATAAACCTTAGAAAATCTTGAAATCTTGAAAGGGATGTGCAAAATAGTCATTATATACAGTCTTTAATTAACTATTAGTAGAGAATAACGAGTAAAGAATATACTTTATAGGGATCCTATTAATATCTAATAATAAAAATAATGAAATTCAATAACATGCTTTAACCACTGTCCCTTTATATCAGCTGTGCACCTTTATTATACAGCCTATCTACCAATTGGATCAAATATAAAAGTCAGCCGAATTAGTGTTGATACTGCAAGGAGATGTATTTTGTGAAAAGAAATGTAAGATGTTGTTTAATTACTGATATATTTATGATCCACGTCACGTTTTCAGTGTTGGCGGCAGTTCCTCATGTTTGTCTAGAAGTCTTCTCATCAGGGCTCTATAAATAGAGAACTACGGCAGATATGTAATATTTAATGCAGCCGAACCGTGTATTACAATGCCGTTATGTGATGACTTTCAAAGAGAAAAGCAAGCACACTCGGAATAAAGTATTATTTTAATGTTTTCGGTCTGTTTCCGGTATTTGTTAATGACGACGTGCTGTGGAATTGCACAGGGGAAAATAACGTATCTTTAGATGCGGATTTTGTTAAACTAATATGTTTGCGCTGTGGACCAACACTATACATTGACGGGGAAGGGGGTAGAAATAAAGATAACACCATTAAACAGTTACACAACATAACAGAAATAAAATCGATAGCAGCGTCCCTAGCAACCACCTTGGTAACAATGAAAACGTTCTATGGACGCAATTTCCTGAAGTAATCTTCGTAATAACTAGCAAACTAAAGATCATGTACATCCACTGCACACATAATCTGAAATAACAACTGATATTTCTCGCATCAAATGACATCAAAACGCATTTTAATGGCCAAACTAACTTTAAAATAGGCATTTTCCACCGAGAATAAAACGAAGTTCGGCCATGTTTTTTTTTCTGCAGGGAGAAATTTGAAGATCACGTGACAGACTCCAGCCATTGGAATGAATGGTGAAAAAAAACGGGGGCTGCAGTGTCACTACCCGATCTGCAGTGCGCATGTGCGAGATGGTCCGCCATATTGGACAACTCCGGACGGCAACC